CAAAATACCTTTAAGATCCATAGCAAAAAAATAGTGGAAAAGTACCTCTAAATCAATTTTTAAAAGATGACTTCATCTTTGGATCAAAGGTACAAGGGAGTGTGTAATATCTATGGGAGGAGGAAAAGGGAACACATAGAGTCAGGAAAGCAAGCAAGATCTTATCAGTGACTGTTCATAAATGCAGGGCAGATATTCCATCAAAAACAATTCTGTAGCAGAACATAGTTGTTATATATGCCATTAAGGTGTGGATAGCCTTATAATAAATAATAAATGATGTTTTGTTTGGTCTCATTAAAATTACTAGTAAAATGTATATAACTTATTTTCTTATGACACTAGAAAAGTTAACACATATTTGATTTTTAGTCAGTGGTGGTGTTATATACCTTGTAAACCATAAATGATTTGAATTCACAAATACATATGTATGTATGTGTGTGTGTGTTTATGTATTTGTATGTACCTACACACATGACATATAATGTTTAAGAACCTTTCTATTAAATTTTCAACTTTCATTTAAATTTTTTGAGAGGTTTTTGCTATAGGGCGTGTGCACTTGCCAGAAAGACAGAGACAGAAAGACAGAAAGCAAGAAATCACGCCCCAGGGAGAATGACCATGCTGCAATCCCTTCTCCTCCATTCTCCTCTCGGGATCTTGGGCACACACACACATATGTGCCCAGCATGAGTTTAAGCCACTGGGTCAGAGACTCGAACCGTGGTTGACTGCATGGGAGTCCAGTGACATAGCCATTATGCTGACTGCTGGTCCTGATTTTTATTTAATTTTTGAATACATATTTTCTAGAGATTTTTCTATTTCCATTTGATTCATTGAGATATACAATTCTGCTATACTTCGGGCGAAAAACACATGCATTTTTATCTTACATGGCATAGGTAAGCTTGTTGGGCACTCGCTGAAGAATTCAAGAATTAGGCTCTAAATCCAACAAGTTCGAATCTTAAAAAGTGTTAGCATCAATGTTGCTCAGACTTTTTGTTTAAGTTTTCCTTGCTTGCAAGGATCAGAAACTAGCTCAGATTTATATAGATAAAAATGCCATCAACTCATTCATTAGAGAATATGTGGAATATTCTGGGAGCAACAGGGCAGATCTTAGAAATCTTTGTGTTAGATCTTAGAAACAAGCAGATCCAGGGAGCTGAACTCTGCTGGAGGTCTCTCATTATTGTTACACTTTGTAGACAAGGTTTATTCTCCCTGAGTGCAGCCCAATTTTCTCTTAAAATATGAGGTGTGGTCACTGACCTTTCCTGATTTAAATTCTTAAGAATTTTTCCACCAGCATAGCATGACAATTGTTCTTTATGGATCAGGTTCAAACAGCTTGAGAGATACTATTAGATTCCATTTGGGAAAAGTGCTGCCCTTAGGACCAATCATTGCATTAGAGAGCTATGGGATACCAATATGGATTTGTCATGCCCTGAACCAGTCAGAAGTCAGGAATAACAAAATGTAATAATTTTGTAAAGTTTAATGGAATTATGTGGTTTTGGGAGCAGAGTAGACAAGTGTAGCTCCCCGAAGGAGAGAACTGTTGCTTCCAGAAGAAAATAGAGTTAGACAAATAGCACTGACTATGTACTATAGCTAGCCACAGCTAATTATTGGCTGATACAGAACTTGAATGTAAGTTGTCAGCATGTTGAAGACTTAGTCTCTTTTCTTCTTCAAAACGTTATCTTTGAAAAGTGAGGCCAGCGCCCCACAGATGACATAAGGGTTATGTCATTGGACTCTCATGTAGCTGACAGCAATTCAAGTCCTGGACCCAGCAGCTTAGAACTCATGTCAGGCATATGAGCATGTGTGCCCAAAATCCAATGAAGAGAATAGAGAAGAGATTGCGGTGTGTGTCCATGCCCCCTGGGGAGTTATTTCTCACTTTCTGTCTCTCTGTCTCTCCTGCAAAAGCACACACACTATAGCAAAAACTTCTCTAAAAAAAAAAAAAAAAGGAAAAAGAAAAAAAGAAAAGGAAAGTGAGGCCAGCGGGTGGCATAGTGTTCAAGGTGCTAGACTCCCACAGAGTCGATCGTGGTTTGAGTCCCAGACCTGGTGGCTTCTAACTCACACCAGGCATGTGTGCATTCATTCCCCACATCCTAAGAGGAGAACAGAGAAGGGACTGCATGTGATTATTCCCTCCCCTGGGGTAGGGGGTGAGCATGTGATTATTCCCTCCCCTGGGGTAGGGGCTGATTTTTTGTCTCTCTGGTGAACGCACATGCCCTATAGCAAAAGTCTCTCTTAAAAAAAAAAAAAAAGGAAAAAACAGTAACCTAACGTTAGCAGATCTGATTTTTTGTCTCTCTGGTGAACGCACATGCCCTATAGCAAAAGTCTCTCTTAAAAAAAAAAGGAAAAAACAGTAACCCAACATTAGCAGATGGTGGTAGCAGTAGCGATTATGTCACTGGACTCTGACAGGGCTGATTGCGGCAGAGTTTCAGACCTGGTGGCTTAAAAATCATTCCAGGCACATGAGCCTGTGTATGCCTGGGAGAATGGAGGAGAAGGGATTGTGTCATAGGTATTCCCCCTGGGGGTGATCTCTCACTTTCCTTCTCACTATTTGTCTCTCTCTCTCTCTGGTGAGTGTACATGCCCTAAGGCAAAAGACCTCTTTTTAAAAGAAAATAAAAACAAAAACACAAAGGAAGAAAGAAAAGTAACCCAAAGCACTAAGAGATCACTATCCCAGAACATTAGAAGACTGATTTAGACACATCACTGAAAAAATTCACACCTTGTTTTAACAGTAATAAAATTCTAATTCTAATTTGTGAACATTAACTAGTTAACTCATCCAATTAGATATTGTTGACATTAACCTCCTTTTAAAATATACACATTACTAAGTTACATTAGAAAGTGGAAAATAATACAACAAATCCAAATTTAAGCTGTGCATTGGTTAACTCACTTACATTGAAAATATCCTAATAAC